CAGGGGCAGCCCGGCCGAGCCCCCGATCGGGTGCGTGGGGGGTGGCGGCGCCGCGAGGAGCATCCGGGAAGCGCCCCCCGACCCCGCCCGGCCCTGCAGCGCAGCCCCGCCGCAGATCGCGGCCCGACCCCCCGCTGCAAACCCGAGGAGGAGGATGTGGAAAAGTGGCCGCACGGGATCGGCAGCGCCTAACGCAGCAGCGGAGCGCATCACTTACCCCTCACCGCGGAGAGAGGGACCGGACGGGGGAGGCGGGGCGCGTCGCGTCCCGTGAGTCTCTTGCACGCCGTCCTCCCCCGACAGTGTCGTCGCCGCTGTCGTCGTCGTCCCTGCCGCTGGGATCAAGATCCCGGCCCCTCGGCTCCGCTGGGCACCAACGTTATTCCATACACGCCCCACACATAGCGGTAACGGCAAAGAGCGGCCGCCTAATGCGCAGGCGCCTGGGGAAAGGGCGAGGAGCCCGGCCCTACCCCCTTCCCGGCTCAGTCCCAACTATCTCTGACTGCGCAGGCGCCAAAAACAGACAATGAAAAGGGGCTGTGCAGAGGGTCTTACCGCAGGGTTTTCCAGCTGCCGACTGCGCAGGCGTGCCTCAAAGACCAGCTTGAACAATGAGGAGGACCCCAACATTAGCTGAGACCGCTACCAACAAGGACTACCGTTCCCAGCGGGCAGTGCGCCAACCCCAAGTGGAGGTCGGGTTGCTGGGCATGCTAGGATTTGTAGTGTCCGCCGCCTTGCACAATCTAGGCTTATTATTAAATGGGGAGATTTAGAGCTTATTTCTCTTGAGAATTTATTCGTCCGTTTTGGCAAATATCGCGGCTGAACAGTGTAGAGCTTGTTATTTGCGTCCTTGAAAATCTCCAAGGATCGACTGCATATGAGCAAATTTCTTAGAAAAGTCAAGGCCTTCAGGGAGCCCTTTCTGTCATTTGAGTGGCCCAAACACCAGGATGGGATGGAGGCAGGACTAAACCGGGAAAAGGGCAGAGCTTCCAGGCAGTCTCTTGGCAACCGGATCCGGCTGCCAAACGGCCGAAGCTGGCGCTCGGAGCGCGGTTCCCTCTGGGAATTGTAGTGTAGTGGGAAGGGCTCTCAGGAACTTGCACACTGCAGGCCAGGCGTCTGAGAACCACAACTCCCGTCATCCATCAAGAGGGCCAGAATGTGAGCAGAGCCCCCGCGAGTCCGGTCCAGGGTTCCATGCTCCCCATTGACAGCAGCGGCAGGAAGCCAGCGGGTACACCCGGGGCGCTAAGGCCTCCTGTTCCCGGAGGGGAGCACACTGGACACTTCCCCACATAACTCCCATCTCTGGGCCCGAGTCTGTACATGGCGAAGTCCCCGGAGAACTCTACCCTGGAGGAGATTCTGGGGCAGTACCAGCGGAGTCTCCGGGGTGAGTTGCTCCGAACCTCCGTGCCATAGCCCCTTGGTACCAGGGCCTAGGGGGCGGGGAGCTGACGAGGTGTGTTTCCTATCACCTCGGTTCGGCCCCAGCCAGGATGCAGAGGAAGAAGATGGATGTTGCTGTGGAAGGATGTTTTTGGAGGAAGGATGAGATTGTTTGTGTTTGTTTTTACTGTTAACCATTCGTGTTTCCCTGATTCCCTTTAGTTACCTGAACCAACTCTCTGATCTTGTTTTAGGCATCTTCCTCACCCAGCTCCAGCAGAAACTCTTGAACGGCTCTATGCCACTTTTGCACATTTCCCATACTTTGATCTCTAGTAAGTTCCTGATTCACGCTATTTACACATTCAAAGTATGTTGTAGTGGATTGAATGATTTGCTGGACCAGGAAAAGAAAACACTAATAATTATTTTAATCACAACAGCTTTATTTAGTGCTCTAGGCTATGTACATACATTATATCATTTAAAACTTAAAACAACCTTATGAATATGGGGAAATGGAGGTGCAAAGACGTTAAATTAGGACAAAGCCCACAGAGCTGCTTCGTGGCCGAGCCAGGTGTTAAATTCAGGCAGGCCTGTCTTAAAAGCCTATATTTTCTTTATTAATCCTGTCACAATTACTATTACTGAAACCATATTTAGTTAATTTCGATTTCCTTAGTATGGCACGATATAATTGAGTATCTATAGAAGTTCATACTTGTAGATAGCTCTGTCACCTTGGACATATATAACATTTAAAAACCTTAGTTCTGTTGTTTTGAAGTGGAAGTTGTGGTGTCATCTACAGGGTTGCTGTGAGAAGCAGATGAAATAATCCATGTAAAGCAGTCATTTTGAGATTTTCTTTTCACTGTTACTCATCAGTAAGAAATACACTTTATATGGGACAAATACATATATAAGCTAAAAGAAAAGTTTCGTTAAAGAATACTAGATATAATACACTATATTTTCTCTTCTGTTGCATTTTCTGAGCCCTCTAGGTCCTGACCAACAGTTTTAAAAAATTATTTAAAGCATTGAGAACACTGACTCACTTATTAATTGAGCGCCTATCATGTGTTAAGCATACTAGGTCCTGGGGATACATAAGGAACTAGACAAAGTCCCTGTCCCCTTGGATCCTCTGGATTAGTGGGGGAGAAAGACAAACAAAATAATTACAGATTACTAGGAAAGAAAATAAGGGTAAAGATCAGTGGTTGGCACATAAGAAGCACTCATTAAATGTTAGCTGCTATTTATAATTGGTACCTGCAACAAAGGGGAGATTTTTCAAGGAGATTAGGAAGTTTATTTTCAAGTGACTAGATTTTGTAAGAGTTATTATTGATTGTTCCCACCTGTCAGCAGTGTGACAAACTGTCAACATTCTCAGTATTCAAACTGCAAGAGTAAAATAATTGGTTTTAATGAATACCTTCATCAGCCCCAGTGATGTTTCAAGAACTGTTAGGTACAGAAATAACCTCTTCTAACTTTCATTTGAAAGGAAGAAAAATACTGTACACAATGATAATGTGAGTGTTTCTGTTTAATTTTTGAGGTTGGCAAAAAATTTTTGTTTTCCGTGGTAAGCGTCTCCTAATGTTCTTTCTTCTTTGACTTTATTTTGAACTTTTATGTAAGTATTAGAGGCCATTTACTATTAGGCATTTTGATGCACTAGTTAATTTCAACTAACGTTAGAGTACTATGTTGAATACCCATAGTAATGCTTTCAAGTAATTATAAAGTGAAGAGTTTTCATTCAAAGCTACTACATTTTAAAATAAATTTTACATTTAGAGTGCTAACAATATGATAGTGAAAACATTTATAATCAAGAGCAGACAAAGCAGAGAAAAAAGTTAACTTAAAAACATTTTTTTAGTGATAGCTATAACAATGAATCAAGAAATGGAACCTGATTTTGTCGTGGGCTTCCAGGACTTATTATTTATTCAGTAGCATTTTTTTTATTTTTACATTTATTTCATTTATATAACAGCTCATGGAAGGAAACAAAACAGAGCTAACTTTGAAGAGAAGTACAGTCAGAAGTTCTTCACTCCCTACATATAAATTACCACTTTTAAATAGGATAATTCCTTTTAAAGTCAACATCTGTGTTTCAGAATAAAGTTTGATGGCATTATTTTATATATGGAACTTCATTTTGAGTGTCTGTGTCTAATAACTTGAAACTGTGTTACTATGCAATCAGACAAAATGCAATTTAAAGTTCTTTTGCTTTGTTTTGTTTGGTTTTGTTGGTTTGTTTGGTTGTGTCTATCTACCATTACTTCCCCAAAATGTCTTGCCTCATTCTTGCTTAGAGAAAAGGCTGATAATCATTCTTTGTCTTTCCTCACAAGTACTCCTCTGGTTTTCAAATAACTGTGCCTATAATAATTTCTGATATCCCTTCTTTTATATTCAGCCAGCAACTAACCACATAAAAATGCAAAATGCTTTCACAATTTTCCATGCTAGAGCCTCATTGTTTTATAGCTTTTCCTCATTTCTTCACTTCAAATATAATTTTTGGGATTACTATAGAATATTAATAATTTGAAGTTCTGATGTGAAAGCGGAATCAAAGTTCACTTTCTTGCTTTTAAAACCTGAGTGGACGTCTTGAGCCTTCTTGACTGATGATCCCAGAGAGCCCATTTTCACACTCCACCCTCACCGCCCATCCTTCCCCTTACACTTGTCAGATATAGTCACTGTTTGTCCCCTGTAAGGGTATCTCTTGCTTTCGGTTGTCTGTACCCCCACTACAAGAAATTGGACAAGTTTAATGACACTCCTTCAAAATTAAGAGTTCTGGCATAAAAATTAAAAGGCTTCATTGCCTCACAAATCTAATATTATCCCTATACAGTAGATGCTATGAAAGTTTCCAGTGTGGTAATAAGTGAGCATATTCCGGGTATCCTGAGAGCCACAGAGTTTAACATAGAACTGAAAGTGACTTGGAAGACTTCCAGGCAGTATGGTTAGGTGTTCATTCATTCATTCTATAGGCAACTATAATTCAGGACCTGCAGAATGGCTGAGAACTATATTGCTAACTGGAGAGAAGAACAAATGCCCGTCCTCTAATTTAAATTCAACACATCATTGTACAAGGCCCTGAAGTATAAAATAAAGTAGTGTATACCTAAGAAAGGGTCAGAAAACAAAACAGAATAATGGGCAATCCAGGCTGTTTATGTTCTGTATACTTGAATGTAGGGATATGATATTAGAAAGAAGGAGAGAACTTGCTAGAGATACAATGTCTCAGCCTTAATAACAGAATCATGTCTAGTCTATTGCTGCAATGTTAGCTATGGATACAGTTTATCAACACCTGAATACATGACTCGCCAATTCACCTAGCCACCTTCGTTGGGTGGGCCTAAAAAGATGTGAAACAAACTTGTACAGTGATAGGAATAGACCATTTATTTTCCATATAGATTTTCTATGCTGGTTTACCCTTTCCACTTCATCACTTGGGTGTTTCAGGCTCTGGCCTGAATTTGTGGATGAGTATGATGGAGAAGAGAAATGTGGAACTGGGAGCCAGGTCCCTGAACTCTTACTATTGCTTTTCTGATAACCATCGGTCACCTCAGGCAAATTAATAAACTGTTCTCGGATTCTTGGTCTTCATCTATAAAATAAAGTTTGGACTAGATTTGGGAATTATTGCCTTTAGGAGCCAAACTGATGACAGAATGTGTGATAGCGTTAGTGGAAGACACTAGGGAATGGTGAGGCGTGTGGCCAAACTGGGCAGCTGACGCTTTTTCTGAAAACAATCCAGTTTCTCCCTGGTGTCCTTCCTCCTTTCTTCATTCCCTTTTTTTTTTCTCCCTTCCTCGCACACTGTGCTGTCCAATGGAAACACATGTGAGAGCCTGGTCGTCACCCAGGCATCACTCTCAGACCCCTGGATCTCTAATATCACTAGGTTGGACCACGTGAATGACGAAGGTTATGTTTTTATCTAATAAAAATAAGAGTAAGGAATGGAACTAGTTCATAGAAAGCAAAAGGTTAAAAGGGAAAAAAATAGGTAATTTGGAGGTGATCCTCTTCTTTGTAAATGGACCTAGTTTGAGAAAACCGAAGATAACGTTGATGTTCTATGTTTTACTTGTATATGTGATTGACATATCGCTGCAGATCCTACAAAGAGGATTTTTTTTCTTGCAGGGAAGGGCTCACATCTGTAGAAGGCCTGTGTTAACCTTACTAGCCAATAATTTGGTCACTGAGTTAGCCAGCAGTGATGTCATCTGGACCTTTGGCAAACTTACAAAAGCATGTGTAACTTTAGCAAAAGTTCTTTTTCTCAGTTTTATTCATCAAACTTGTATTTCTTCTTCATTTCCCTCTCCCTTCCTTCTTTCCAGTTCCTCCTAGTTCTCCTTTTCTTTGTTTTTGCTTAAATGTTTCCTGAATATATTTTATATTGTTCACCATATACAGTATATACCGGGGGTGCCAAAAAATGTATACAAGTGGACACTGGTCAACGTTGCTCTAGCAGTAGTTCGCCATAATCAGAAGTGTCTGGATGCTGATGGTAACCACTTTGAGCACCTCTTGTAATTGCAGAAATCAAATGTGACTTGTATTTATCTTTTGTTATCGGCATATATTGATACAGTTTTTCCCTTTCTTAAAATGTGTGTACATATTTTTGGCACCCTCTGTATATATGCACACATACATTCTGCACAGTTAATGTTTGCTTATTTGTGTTATCAGCCTCATTGACACCAAGAGAGGCAACAATATAATAAAGCCTTTGGAAACATTTGTTGTGAAATGACAAAGTTATTTTGGTATTTCAGTGCAGACTGAACCATCATTGTTTTCTAAAATTTAAAGAACTGGAATGGTTTGGCTATTAATAAATAAGCATTGGTAATGCAGCTAAAACTTGTGCATATCTGAGTTCATTTTTTTTGCTGATAACAAAAAATGATAAACATA